CCAGTCACATTGAGATGAAAGTCCAGTGCAACTTTGCTCTAAGAGTTCTAGCCAATGAAACTGGGTGATATCATGTTCCATACCTGTATTATTTTATGTGTTTTTACACACACATTATTATTATTATTATTATTATTATTATTATTATGTTATTTATATAGCACCATCAAATTCCGCAGCACTTTACAATGGGTGGACGAACAGAAATGTAGTTGTAACCAGACAAGTTGGACACACAGGAACAGAGGGGTTGAGGGCCCTGCTCAATGAGCTTACATGCTAGAGGGAGTGGGGTAAAATGATACAAAAAGGTAAGGATAGTATTAGACTAGTGACAGTTGCAGAAGAGGAATCAGTCAGGAGCTATTAACAGTTTAATTGATACGATTTTATGAAGAAGTGGGTTTTTAACGATTTTTTTAAGGAGTGGAGACTGGGTGAGCATCTAACGGAGGAGGGAAGCGAGTTCCACAGGAACGGTGCAACCCTCAAGAAATCTTGAAGGCGAGCATCAGAGGTGGGAGTACGGACAGAAGATAGACGTAAGTCTTCAGCAGATCGTAAAGTCCTAGACGGGACATACTTATGTATAAGGGAGGATAGATAGGTCGGAGCAGCATTATGTAGCGATTTGAAAGCAAGGACCAGAATTTTAAATTGAGCTCTATATTTTATAGGAAGCCAATGTAGGGACTGACAGAAGGGTAAGGCATGGGAGGTGCGTGCGGACATGATGATGAGCCTCGCTGCCGCATTTTTTATGGACTGTAACGGAGGAAGTTGGGAGCACGTAAGACCACTGAGAAGCGGATTACAGTAGTCAAGGCGAGAAAGGACAGTGGAATGGACCAACACCTTAGTCGCATCTGGCGTTAAGTAGGAGTGGATGCGCGCAATGTTTTTGAGATGGAAATGACAGGATTTGGCACTTACAGGTGTGAGAGGGTGAATGCTACATCCTTGCTAATAAGGATGGAGGCTCCCTTTGACTTGTTTGAATATGTAGCGTGGAACTGGTGCGGGAAGTCTTGCACGAACAGTGGGGAGTGTGAGTTTGTTTTAAAGTGAGTTTCTTGTAAGCACACTACGTCCGGGTTGTTTTGTTTCAAATCCCGGCGTAGTAAGCTGCGTTTAGCAGGGCTATTTAGGCCTTTGGTGTTGTGGATGTATATTTTCATGGGGGTTTAAAAATTTGTACCCGCTTTTCCTGATAGGTTTCGGTGTCTATGTGTGGGGTTGCCGCCTCACCCAGCCATTTCGAACCTGGCGACTCCCCCTTGTGAAGCTGATGTGTTGTGCCCCCATGGGGGGTTCTTTCCCTAGGTAAAGTGGTGAGATGGTGGTCATTGTGTTGTGCTTTCTCTGGCTGACAAACGGGGTAGTAACATAACAGAACTAAAACTATAAAAGCTGCCTTATACTTGGCTTGGCGCCTAACTAAGGTGCCCTGGGGGAAGAAGCATAGTGCTTCCATTCCTGTGTGAAGCCTTTTGCGGCCTAACTGCCATTTTATAAGCTAGTCAACCTTGCTGTTAGTGGCCCGATTGGTGCTATGGGGCTGGTAGCAAACCCTAAACTCTAGGGTGTCTGTCTATTCCCTTTGTGTTCCCAGTGCCACTGAGATCACCGCCCCCCTGCTTTTGTATTTTTACAAGTGTCTCTAGTGCTGTACATAGTCCCAAAGTCTCTCAATTTTACTTGCCACGTTCTGCGATGCAAATTCCGCAGCACTTTACAATGGGTGGACGAACAGAAATGTAGTTGTAACCAGACAAGTTGGACACACAGGAACAGAGGGGTTGAGGGCCCTGCTCAATGAGCTTACATGCTAGAGGGAGTGGGGTAAAATGATACAAAAAGGTAAGGATAGTATTAGACTAATGACAGTTGCAGACGAGGAATCAGTCAGGAGCTATTAACAGTTTAATTGATACGATTTTATGAAGAAGTGGGTTTTTAACGATTTTTTTAAGGAGTGGAGACTGCGTGAGCATCTAACGGAGGAGGGAAGCGAGTTCCACAGGAGCGGTGCAACCCTCAAGAAATCTTGAAGGCGAGCATCAGAGGTGGGAGTACGGACAGAAGATAGACGTAAGTCTTCAGCAGATCGTAAAGTCCTAGACGGGACATACTTATGTATAATGGAGGATAGATATTTCGGAGCAGCATTATGTAGCGATTTGAAAGCAAGAATTTTAAATTGAGCTCTATATTTTATAGGAAGCCAATGTAGGGACTGACAGAAGGGTAAGGCATGGGAGGTGCGTGCGGACATGATGATGAGCCTCGCTGCCGCATTTATTATGGACTGTAACGGAGGAAGTTGGGAGCACGTAAGACCACTGAGAAGCGGATTACAGTAGTCAAGGCGAGAAAGGACAGTGGAATGGACCAACACCTTAGTCGCATCTGGCGTTAAGTAGGGGTGGATGCGCGCAATGTTTTCGAGATGGAAATGACAGGATTTGGCGATAGATTGAACATGAGGCTTGAAGGAGAGGTCAGAGTCAAAGAGAACACCTAGGCAGCGAGCCTGCGTGGTGGAGCTGATGGTAGCACTGTTGACAGACACAGGAGTAACAACACTTGAGGGAGGAAAGACCAGAATTTCAGTTTTGGTCAAGTTTAGTTTAAGGAAGTGGGCAGCCATCCAGTTAGAAATAGCAGAGAGGCAGTCAGAGACACTAGTCAAGAGGGACGGGGAGAGATCAGGAGAGGACAGGTAGATTTGCGTGTCATCTGCATAGAAATGATATTGGAAGCCAAAGGAGCTAATGAGTTTACCAAGGGAGGCAGTATAGATGGAGAACAGTAGGGGACCAAGGACTGAACCTTGGGGGACACCAACAGAGAGGAGTTGGGGAGAAGAAGCAGAGCCAGAGAAAGAAACACTGAAAGAGCGCTGGGAGAGGTAGGAGGAGCACCGATATTGCGGAGCATGAGAAGAAACTGTTGATGATCAACAGTGTCAAAAGCCGCAAACAGGTCAAGGAGAATTAGGATAGAGTAGTGACCACGAGATTTTGCAGCGAGTAGATCATTGGATACTTTCGTCAGTGCCATTTCCACAGAGTGCTTAGCTCAGAAACCAACCTGAAGCGGGTCTAGCAGAGAGTTGGACTCAAGGAAGTCTGTCAATCTCGCATACACAATTCTTTCAAGGATCTTAGATGCAAAAGGCAGTAGCGAGATAGGACGATAGTTGGATGGGGAGTTACGGTCAAGATTGGGCTTCTTTAGAATTGGGGTTACAGTTGCATGTTTGAAGGGCGAGGGAAATATACCAGAGGAGAGAGAGAGATTGAGAATTTTAGTGAGAGGTGGAGAAAGAGAAGAAGACAGGGTAAGGATGAGATGCGAGGGAACTGGATCTAGGGAGCAGGTGGTGAGGCGGGAGGACTGGAGCAGAGCAGAAACCTCTTCCAATGTAGCGGGTGCGAATGAACATAGAACAGCAGAGGAAGTGGTTAGGGGAAGTATTGTAAGGGGAAGAAGAAAGATGAGAGATCTCTTCTCTGATTGTAGAGATCTTGTCAGTGAAGTGAGTTGCAAAGTCTGAGGCGGTCAAGTTAGTAGGTGGAGGAGGAACAGCAGGGCGAAGAAGAGAGTTAAATGTGTGAAATAGTTGTTTGGGTTCGCGGGAGAGTGTGGTTATGAAGGTATTGAAGTAATTAACTTTTGCAGAGGAAATTGCCAAGTTGTATGAGCTCAGCATAAATTTATAGTGGAGAAAGTCAGATGCACAGTGAGACTTTCTCCAACAGCGTTCAGCAGTTCTGGAGCATTTTTGGAGGTATCGAGTGAGCTTGGTGTGCCAGGGTTGTTGTTGGGGCGCCTGCGGTTGTACAAGGTGCCATGATGTCTAGTTGAGAGGAGAGGGTGGAATTGTAGAAGGAGGTTGCAGAACTAAGACAGGTGAGGTTTGAGATAGGTAAAAACGCAGCGGATAGCATCAATATCCATTCTTCCCTTTACTTTGAGAATAAAATTGTCCCAAAAGGTTTCTCAAACTTTTTGGATATTAGAGGCTCAACTTTAGAAAATGTGGATTACATTTGGGCTGTGTTTTATTTATTTAGCACTTCGCCATTGAATTCTCACAGTAAAAGCCTATAATTGTATTATAAAAGTAGACATCACATACATTAATTTAAAGACTAATCATATATTGTGATATTTTTAATGTTGTAAATCTTTCTGATTTTTAAACACACAGCCAATTTGACCTACCTTGCATACACGACTACCTATTTATTAGTTTATCATCTACCAATTTACAGTATCAGCAATGCATCTATTTTTTTAATTTTTTTTTTTACTTTCTTTAAATCCATTAAAATATTTATTTGGGGGGTGAGTGGTAAGATGGATATTATTTTTAGCTAAATCTTTAACTTAATCTTGTAAATCTACCCAATTCTTGACTAACAGGCTGTTTCTCAGCACAACTTTAAAAAAAATCACCTTTATCTTTTACTGACCTCCTTGATAACAGAGTAATATAATCAAGGAGGTATATACATGAAATTCTTTAACTATTAACAATCCAAATTTCAAAATTCTCATTGCCTAGCTGATAAAAATCGAGTTGGTAGTGTTTCTATATATTGTAGACTTGCTGATTTTGTTCTGAATTGAGCAATTTGGCAGTCACTCCATGACCAGCTCCATGAATGTGTCTTATTCCTTTACCAACAATAAACATTTCGCCTTTATACTAAGATTTGTTTATCTTTTATTGTTGTTTTGCCAGAAGGAGAACTTTGAAATGTAAAGTCACGTTAACATTCCAAGCTCTGCACATGGCAGTATGTTTTAATCTCTGCTCTATAATTTACCCTTGTATGGTAAACATTACTGACAGTATTCATGGGTTCCTATTCATAATCCGCATTCTATGAGCTCAGTATAGCTCAGCACTGACACCTACTGTACAACACAATGTAATGGAAGGCGGAACTAAAGCTCTAGGTTCTCAGTTTCCGGGGGAGCGATTTCAACGACGGACCGGAAAAAAATGTGTTTTTGATCGGCGCCGTGTGCTCTATTCGCAGTGCTGTTAGTGGATCCAAAATGGCATCGTCTGTGAGTATTAGTGACAATGTGTGCAGTATAGAGATTGACAAGCTCATGTCTACTAACTTACATTTATTATTTGGTCCTTGAGGACCCCCTCTCACAGTGTATTGATAATTAGTTTATTGATGGACAGCAGTAATTAATGATACGTGTGTCATAATATTGTACAGCGCTACGGAATCTGTTGGCGCCATATAAGTGGAAATAATAATAATAATAATAAGTGTAATACCCCCCGCCCCCCATCAGAATATGGTATTAGTTATTTCATTTCTTGAGTAATCATAAATGAAGTTATCAAATACCCAATCACTCTCTATCCTTATCCGCTTTATTTCTTTCATTTTTTTTTTTTTTTACATTTATCGTAAGACTATTACAATTTTATTAAACAATCAAACATACAAACATTTACTCGGTTTGTAATACCATTTGTAACGCTGAGTAAATATTGAGTCTAATACTTGTGTTACTTTACACGGAGATAAACCGAATTTAGATATATATTTTTTTTTAACCAAATTGTAGCATTTTTATTACAAACCTGGTATTACTTTTTTTATACTTTTTGTGTTTTTACTTTAGAGAATTGTATGGTCATTGAAAACAATTTCAAATAAATTATCCACAACCTCTTCTGTGTGTGCCACTGAGTTGATAATCTCTTATTTTAGAGTAGTTTATTTCCTATGGCAGGATAGAGCCTATTAAATTCAAGTGTCCTGGTTTACGCTTAACCTTAGGGGAGGTCTGTTTGGTCATAAGCACCACTTATCTACTGGCACCAGGTACAATTTGAAGTCTTCAAACCATCACAGAGTCCATATGTGAGATGCATAGTACTTGTATATTATGTTTGGATTTGTAAATACACTAGTTTTTTGTTTGCAGCATGGCTTTGGACTGATACAATCCTTCCCACCAGAAAAAGCTAAATATTGTTGCCCCCATAGATCAGCGGTGGCCAAATATAGACAAGGAGATGGACTGAAAATAAGTATTAATCAATAACTAGGCAGTCATGTTAAGCCATAAAAGGCAAAGAAAAGAAGGATTACTTGTTGATGGTGTCCATTCCAAAATAACATACACTACATTTTTCAGTTCTTTTGTTTTTTTTCCCATTAGTACATTTGCCAGCAAGTAGATATGCTGTTATATATTTATATGATGTTTTCTTTTAGGATTTCAGAACAGATGTTGATCTGGCATGCAGAGCTGCTGAAGAGTTTGTCAATCTGTACTATGAAACCATTGACAAGAGAAGAAGAGTAAGTGTTTAGTTATTTTAGAGCAGGGGTGCCCAAAAGGTAGGTCCCCAGACGCTTTGCATGCTCTTAGAATGCCTTTAAAATGCCAAAGCATCATGGAAACTGTAGTTTTAAAACATCCGGGGATCTACCTATTGAGCACCCCTGTTCTAGAGCATACTTTCTTGTCACGCTATCACTTTATAAATAGTAAAAGTGAATCTATACACTGCTAACAAATGTGTAGACATTGTTTTTGTATTTATTTATCTTTTTTCAGGACTCACAATTTTCTCTCACTTTTTGGAAAGTGGAAATCTAGCCCAGGTGAGAGAACTTTTGAGTACCAGCAATAAACTATATGTGGCTATTTGGTAAAAGTGCTATACTAGGAAACTTTTTGCCTCAAGACAAAAGCTCCTTCTGGTGATGAGTATAATTGCCACCAATATTATGAGCTCCCGGGAGCTTGCATTGAAAGTTGACACTCACACTAGACGCCAGGGATGAGGATCCACCGGCTCGTGGAAATAAACTAACAGGAAAGGGTATTGTAAATACATTTAAAAAAAAATAATTATAGTGGAGGAGGGCAAATCAAAATGGTATTTCCCACACACTGGTTCTCTACACACACATGTATTCACATCACACACACACACACACCTACCCTCAAAACACATTGGAGTCGTCCTTTTAACCCCTTAAGGACCAAACTTCTGGAATAAAAGGGAATCATGACATGTCACACTTTGTGTCCTTAAGGGGTTAAAGGGATCCTATTTTGCAAGGAAAACAAACCCGTTTTCCTGGCACTATAGGGTTAATAGGTTCCCCCCTCCCTCGGGGTTGAAGAGGGTTAAAACGCTTTCAGACACTTACCTTAATCCAGCGCCGGCGGGGAAGACCTAATGCGCATGCGCAGCAATGACCGCACAAGCATTAGACCTCCCCATAGGAAAGCATTATTCAATGCTTTCCTATGGGGAAAATCTGACGCTGTAGGTCCGTGAGGACTTCCAGCATCAGATAACGGACCAAAAGTCTGTTTGGATTCCGAAAGCGTCCCCAGTGGCTGTCTGGTAGACGGCCACTGGGGGCAGACTTAGAGCTGCAATGTAAACATTGCAGTTCTCTGGGACTGCAATGTTTTACATTGCAGCACTAAGTGCAAAAGGGTCAAAGCACCCAGACCACTTTAATTAGCTGAAGTGGTCTGGGTGCCTACAGTGTCCCTTTAAGTATTTAATGTTAATGCAGTAATTTGACAGTTGGGACTTTTCTTTAATTCCACAGCAACTGACCAAGCTTTACATGGATACAGCAACAATGGTGTGGAATGGGAATGCCATATCGGGACAAGCTGCCCTCATTGAATTTTTCGAAATGTTGCCATCCAGTGAATACCAGGTCTCCATGTTTGATTGCCAGCCAGTCTGTGGTAAGATTCATGTAGGCTGCCATGTTTAATGAATAATATAACCAAACATCAGGCTATACGGAAATGTTTAAAAATATGTAGTTAAGTAGAATATTAGGTTCTTGGAAGCCATCAAATTGCTCAATATTGGATTGAGGGCTTGTCGCTTCAAGAGATTTGACAGTTCAGATTTAATGCAATTATTCATGCTTAAAGGACCACTCTAGGCACCCAGACCACTTCATTAAGCTGAAGTGGTCTGGGTGCCTGGTCCAGCTAGGGTTAACCCATTTTTTCATAAACATAGCAGTTTCAGAGAAACTGCTATGTTTATGAATGGGTTAAGCCTTCCCCCTAATCCTCTAGTGGCTGTCTCATTGACAGCCACTAGAGGCGGTTGCGTGCTTCTCCCTGTGATTTTCACTGTGAGAGCACGCAAGCGTCCATAGGAAAGCATTATGAATGCTTTCCTATGTGACCGGCTGAATGTGCGCGCAGCTTTTGCCGCGCGCGCGCATTCAGCCCAGGAGGAGGATCGGAGGAGGAGAGCTCCCCGCCCAGCGCTGGAAAAAGGTAAGTTTAACCCCTTTCCCCCTTTCCAGAGCCAGGCGGGAGGGGGTCCCTGAGGGTGGGGGCACCCTCAGGGCACTATAGTGCCAGGAAAACGAGTATGTTTTCCTGGCACTATAGTGGTCCTTTAAGTTAATTCTTCAAGCACCATAACCGCTGCAGCATGCTATAGTGTTTATGGTGCCAGCAGTACCTTGACACCTGCTAACGGAAGTCAAATTGTTTGGTACTCTTGAGGTAAGCAGTGTAATGTAGGGTTACGAGCCTATTGTTCTCAGTGAATGCGCTATGCCCTGCACAATTCAGTTTGAGAGGAACTTGCCCAGCAGACTCTAGGTAAGATATCAAACCATTATTAAATGGTTTGACTATTTACATTGGGGGCACTCCTGGCGCCATAACCTCAATAGCGTGCTGTAGTGGTTATGGAGCTTCGAGTGTTTCTTCAAAACAAAAAACTGAAACCTTTTTTTTTCTCATGTAATCCATGATTTTTGAGACACAGGCTTGTCCAGTGTTTCAAGCAGTCTTTTCCCAGCCAATACATATTCTCTGATTTAATTTTTGTACTACTTAAGCACCTCTCCTTTTTTTTCTGACATACAAGCATATGCAACTGCAGATAAATCCTTGATCTAAAATCTGCTTAGTGTCCCTGGCTGGTAAACAGAGTATAGACTATTGTGTGATATGTTGTCCAGCAGGTGGTGCTACAATCTCAAACATTTTATGTATATAGTCTTCACTTTAAAAAAAAAAAAAAGAAATCATGCCTAAGAATTGATAAAGGACTTGATAGTCTGCAGTGTCAACTGTTTTTCTGTGAGCTCCTTGGAATCTGAAGGTTTTTGCTGGACTTTTCCTGTTTACCTTCGTAGGTAATATAGGACAACTGTCATAAAGGGGATTGCCTGACCATTGTTATGAAGGGCTTCAGTACAATTTGAGGTGGATCTTGATCTTGTTCTTACTCATTTTATGAAAACATTAGGCAAATGGGTCCTGACAAGTTATCAGTAATGAAGAAGTTAGAGCATTATCCAGGCATACTTACTAAATGCTAAGAATGTTAATCATCTAGTCCCTGATATACAGATTACATGAATATCATGCTAATTAATAGAAGCCAGAAGGGCCTTAAGTGCATTAAGCCATTTGCTTCAGATTCTTTTTGTTTTGTGCATGCCAATTTTTCCATATTATATCCTATATACCTATGGGGCAGATGTACTCTGGTTTATTATTACTTGACAAATACATCTGTACTTTGTAAGGCATGCCAGCTTCTTAGGCCTTTCCGTCTCAGCATTGCTGAATGAAAGGTTAAAACAGTTTGCTTTGGTACTTTGTTCATCTGTTTGTAAGTACTTGGCCATGGTACATTGGAAAGAATCTGCTTTTTCTCAGTTGAAGATATCTCATGTCCTAAAGCAGGGTTTGACATATTCAAGTTGTCTATGCATAATCTAGTAGACCACCCAGCTTTCCCTGCTCCCCTTGCAAAAAATCCTCACTGATACACTACAGTGCCATGAGGAAGTGATATGATGTCACATCTTCCTTTGCCTTATCTGACCACAAAATTTATGAGTGCGTGAATAAAAAGGAAAGCTGTCTCCAATTCTTGCTTCAAGCATAATCAACCCACTTCCCCACCAGGAAGAATGACTTATTGTAGATCTTGGACTGAGCTTTTTATGTGCGTTTAATTTACCCACCGGCCACCGTAATATAATTGACATTAGGTGATATGCGTATTGTTTATTTAATATGTACAGCTTTATTAGAATGACAGGCATAGATGTACAGCAGGGCTCAACTGGGTGTTTGTCAGCCTGTTCAGCAGCAAGGAGGGAGAATGGGAGAAGTAATTCTGTTCTTCTTGCTCTGCTTCTTCACACACCCTGCCAGGAGCCGGGATGTGACATCATTCTGGCATCACCGAACAGTGCGAGAGAGCAGAGCAAGAAGATAGCAACCACACTAGACCCCAGAGAAAGTTTCCAATCCAACTTTCCCAAAGGTAGGAAGGTTGGGTGGACTTAAAGGACCACTATAGTGCCAGGAAAACATACTCGTTTTTCCTGGCACTATAGTGCCCTGAGGGTGCCCCCACCCTCAGGGACCCCCTCCCGTGGCGAGGAAGAGGTTAATCCCTTAACTTTTTTCCAGCGCCGGGCTCCCTCGACGCTGGGACTCTCCTCCCTCTTCTGACGTCCCTGGCTGAATGTGCATGCGCGGCAAGAGCCGTGCGCGCATTCAGACAGTCTCATAGGAAAGCATTCTCAATGCTTTCCTATGGGTGTTGGCATCTTCTCACTGAAAATCACACCAGGAAGAATGGCATATTGTAGATCTTGGACTGAGCATTTTATGTGCGTTTAATTTACCAATGAGACAGCCACTGGAGGCTGGATTAACCCTAATGTTAACATAGTTTCTCTGAAACTGCTTTGTTTACAACTGCAGGGTTAAAACTAGAGGGACCTGGCACCCAGACCACTTCATTGAGCTGAAGTGGTCTGGGAGCCTATAGTGGTCCTTTAAATTAAAATTAATAATAATTTGTGCGTGTGTGTCTTTTTGTTTAGGTGATCGTCTCCCCTTCAGTCGCATGGGAAATGTGTTTTTATGCAATGGCTCCTAGATTCAAAATAATTTTGTCAGGCCCTGATGTACTGTATTTAAATTGAAAATATGTCTCAAAATTAGTTTTGGTTGTGTTAACATAATGGACATATCTAAGACTGGGTATTGATTGGTTTATTGTAGGAAATGCTATAGTAACTTTGTACGTGTTAGACTGTACTCTCATTCAAGCATTCTCATTCAAGTAAGTACTAAAAAGGATTACTTTACAATTCAACACCCTTAATTAGGCTTCAGTTTGTTTTGGATCAGAAAATGCCTGTCTGCCAACGCATCACACAGCAACAGCATAGTCTCTGTTAACACCAGAGACAGAACAGCTTCTATTTACTTCCCATTTTGTTTCACTCCACGCTATGCCATTATAGATTAGCAGCAATGGGAGGAGAGAGCAACTAATTAAACAAGCGTGTGGATGCACGTTCTATGTATGTCTGTGAGGTCATTGCACATGAATGCAAGTCTGTGTGTTTTTGTGGGTCTTAGTATGAATATATGTTTCTGAGTAGCTGGCTTGTTAAATATATAGGTCTTTTCAATTTGGGACCATTTGGTATTTAGTGAATTATTGTGTGTGTGTCTGTGTTTTAATAATGATTGACTCCTAAGCTAGGGAAATATGTCAAGCCATATCCTATGTATGTATGTATGTATATATACACACACTAAACATAGCTGGTTTATCACGATCAACTCTGAAAAGAGCAGATTGATTATCCAAAGTTGATATACCACATTCTGTAGAGTAAAATTTTTGTTTCTGTAGGGCATTTTTTACATAACACCAGCATGTAAAATGCACATGTCTGTTACCTGTGGGATTTCGCATTTTAGTTGCATTATACCCAAGTTGCAGCATTAAACCTACTGATTAGGTTTTATAATTGGCATGAACATGCCACATAAAAACTTTCTTTGACCCACTACATTCTCTCTGCTCCTGCCAACCTTGTGCGATATTAGCTGGTGTCATCACGATGTAAGCACTAAATTCTTGCATATGCATGACAGTACAAGCTAAAAAAAATAAAAAATCTCTGCAACTTCCTGCTTATTGATAGGCATGACTGTTTAAATCATACTTAAATGTATTAAATACAAACCTCTACTCTGCACAAGCATATTTTAATTAATGTGCCCATTAAACTAGGAGTTCTGCAGAAAATAATATAGAATTCAAATGCAACTTAAAAAAATATTTTTTTATTTTTAAATATTAGAAATGTACAAAAAAGTGAAGGTATTAATGTGTTTGAAATAATTTATCACAGATGTGACTGGCCATATAACCTGTTGTAAGATGTCATAATACGTCCATTGCAAATATTAACATAATTGACATATGCTTTGTTCCCTTGTCTTTTTAAAGAGCAAGCTACCCAAGGCCAGAAAACGGTTTTGGTTGTCGCCCACGGATCAGTGAAATTTGAAGGAAATAAACCACACTACTTCAACCAAAACTTCTTATTGTCTCTTCATGCAACAGCAACGAGCAACGTGTGGAAGATTGCAAGTGACTGTTTCCGTTTCCAGGACTGGGCCAGCTAGTGCAAGTGCTGCACATTTCCTCTATGACGTTGTGTGCCTGGACCAAGATGTCTGGTTATACCTGTGACTGATCTTAGAACTGCTAGGATGTCTTGTCTGAACCTGTGGCTGTAAACTTGTTGCAATGCATGTATACGGTGCCAGACAACTGGGATTTGCCTGTGTACTGTTAACTATGTAGGAGCATCATTCCGTGTGTGTGTTTTCAGACATATATGTTTTTTCTAAAGTATATTTTTTCCTTAAAATCAGAAATTTCAAAATTTGAAAATAATGTAAAACCATTTTATGAGGGTTTTTTTTTTTTAAATGCTTTTGAATAGATACAGACAGTGTATTTCTTGAGCTTTGTATGTATATTAAACATTGTTTAACAAAAAAAGCCAATGTTTCATGCTACTGTTTTAGATATTTAATTAGTAATCACATAAAACAAGTTACATTTTATGGTAATTTTATTTATTCTTTGCATGTAGACAGGCAGAGTAGTCACCTGTGGTGCCACTATCAGACAATTGCCTTCTCTGCTTAATGTGAAATCTGGCCCTGCACACGCAAGTAGTGATATTAATGCATTGTGGCATCTCTCATGTGGAGGTCTGAATAAGTATATTTTTTTATTATTATTTTTTTACATTTATAACCTTTGCACTGCACAACACCTCTTTATTGTTTGACTTTTAAATGTATCGATAGCACCCAACACAGACAGATGAAGTTTACATCTGTGTGTTACTATAAATATAAATGTAAAGATATTTCAGACAACATGACGAGCGATTTGTGTTTGTATTCTGAAGGGTGTAAATTAAAAATCTAGTTATTTAAAATGGGATAATTGTTTTGACATAGCATAACTGCTCTTGAGAGTAATGAGCTTGGTAATTGAGCACAGAACATGTTCATTACAGCAGGTTTACTGCAACTATAAGTTCTTTTGAATATTTGTGCCTGTTTTTGAGTTAATATGTCCACCCCATTGGAATTATAAGGTACCGGTAATCAGTTACAGCAGGAAACTGCATAATTTTGAGGGTGGACAGACGGAACGTGATTGCATAGTCTATCGTGCATTCTTTCATTTGAAATTCTACATCTGTTACTTGTTAAATCAAACACTAGTGAGTGATTATTTTTAGGTTTTAAAGTTGGATTCCGTTACTTGTAATACATTTACCTTTTAGTTCTCTTACAAACCTATAATGAACCACTCTAGTTTTTCTTTTGAATTTACACCTCATAAACATGAAATTGCAGTTTTAAATTGTGAGCTCTATGTTGCTTGTGTGTAATGTTTGCAATAGTCCTTGGGGTGGAGAGCAGCAGCAAATATAGCTAAATACATCAGCTGTGTTGGGGACAAAGCAGCAGCCAGAGTATAGCCAGAATGGGGTGGTACTATAGTGTTACCATACAATCGTCATGGAGGGAATAGGGCCAGTTCAGCAACCAAAGTACACTTACCATAATTACTTATGCCCCCAGCAGAGAGATGGGGCGAAATCATCAAACATCAGCTCACATGAAAAGTGCCCACTTACCTGACATGACTGTCCTTTGACTGCAACTGCAGACTAAGGCTTCTGTGACTCCGATTACTCGCATGGCAATGAGATCCCAACTGCATTACAGGCCTGGTATAGACCAGAGAATGAAGTCAGATGCAGATGCCTTTTCCTCTACTAAGGGGGGCATGAAGCTTTAATTGGACCTGAGAGAGGTCTGGCCAGTGTGCAGAAGGAGATAGGATGCCTAAAATACCAGATCAGAGATACTGAGTCCTGAGAGGGTTAACACAAGGGCCAGTTTAATGAAACTTAATCACAGATTGACAAACTTACCCAACAATTCCAATGACTCTTTTGCATTGTGGCTTCCTTCGAATCACAGCACCAATGTAGAGATGTACGGATACCCAGGGCTCCTGAAACAGTGGGCCCTGTTGACCTTTGCTAATAGTCTTGCACCAGCTTTGGAGTTGAGGGAGGATGGCTGATGTTCCTTTATAGTGCCAGCATTCTGAATCCAAAAGGCCACTACTGCTCCTGTTGATGCATTCAGGGAGATAATTGTAGTATCCAGGGTGAAGGAGACCCTGCTGGGGGCCTAGTGAACTCACCACAATGGGACAATGTCCTAATGCTAGCCCCTACATGCCATGACAAAGAGGCCGCGGGACTCCCTAAGCCACTGGACAAACCAGTGGACACTGAGCTAAACACTATGCATGTGTTCAAAATCCTTGCTTGGAAATAATAGACCCATGAGCTTAACTTCTGTGGCTGGGAAAGTATTTGAAAGGCTATTAAGGGATAATATGCAAGAATTCTTTGCAAAGAACGTGGTTATCAGGAAAAATCAGCACGGTTTTATGAAGCACAGGTCATGTCAAACTAACTTGATTGCATTCTACGAAGAAGTAAGTATACTTATAGATCTGGGTGTTGCAGTGGTTGTGATCTATTTGGATTTTGCCAAGGCATTTGATACAGTTCCACACAAGAGATTAGTGTTCAAACTCCTGCACCGCAAGTACCATGTTTCTTAGTGTAACAAGTTATACTGAAATACCTCTGATGTTTATAGATACATGTTTATAATTTTGTTTGTGCAAGCTTATCTGGTAACCTGGAGGCACAGCGTATCCACACGCCGCGCTGTATAAATGCGACCTTATAACATACCGTGCCTCAGACACTATAGTGCAGATTATACAAGCCGTAACACCATGAGACAGAAAGCTTATCGCCAGAATGCTCAAACCATAAAGCATTTACTGCATTTTTGCCATACAACCATTACTAGCACTAGACATAATACTGGTAGGCCTGCTTGATTTGATTTGGTTCGGTCTTCACATACCAGCCTTGGCCTGTAATGCTTAACCGGTGAGCCCCTACATAATCATATACACTGGAAGGGTCGCACACGCCATACTGCTCACTCACTTAACCTGTTACAAGTTTATGTTAAGCGACTTATATTGCATATTGCCTAAAACTGTTTACGAAAAGCATTGTTAAATCATAAAAAATAAAAAAAAGAGACACAAATGTTATGGACATGATAGCTACCATTCTTATTCCACCCTATACTGTAATCTGAATGCACATTTCCCTCTCTCTATTCTGTATCCCAATTATTGTGCCTCAATAAAATACACTTGACAAAAAAATATGTATTCCTAACGTTAAAGTGTCCCTCTGACACTTTAACTTACCTGATTCCAAGGTCGCTTTCCTCCTCCTCCTCCCACGTCAGGCAGTGGCGGGGCGGGGGGACTAATGCACTTGCCGCACGCACTAGGCCTTCCCCAAAGGAAAGCATTGAATCAGTGCTTTTTTATGGGGTTTTATGAAAAGCGTGAGGATGTCCAGCATTGTTTTAAACTATGTGAAACTGCAAACTCAGTGAAACAACAGGAAGCGCCTCTAGTGGCTGTCTGCTAGATGGGCACTAGAGGCAGTCTTAGCACTGCAATGTAAACGCTGTGGTTGGCTGAGCTTGTGAGATCATGGTCTGAATGAAATGAAAGTGTAAGTACACAAAAAATCGGGATGAGGGTGGACCAGGAAAAGGCAGACATTTTAAATAACTATTTCTCCTCCATATATATATTAAGGAAGAACCTATGGTAATAGATATGCCAATGATTTCTGCAAAAAGCTTGCAGAAAAATTGAAACTGGCTAACTCAGGACAAGGTGCTGCAGCAACTAAAGAAAGTTAATATAAACAAACCTCCAGGGCCTGATGGTATTAATCCTCAAGTCCTATAGGAACTAAGTGTGAAAATAAGTGAACCTCTGTTTGTAATCTTTCAAGATTATTTTCTTTCAGGAAGTGTACCGGAGGATTGAAGGAAGTCAGATGTGGCTCCTATATTCAAAAAGGGTTCAAAAGCCTTGCCTGGAAATTATAGACCCATGGGAAAGTATTTGAAAGGTTATTAAGGGATAATATGCAAGAATTCCTTGCGATGAACGTAGTTATCAGCAAAAATCAGCATGGTTTTATGAAGCACAGGTCATGTCAAACTAACTTGATTGCATTCTACGAAGAAGTAAATATACATATAGATCTGGGTGTTGCAGTGGATGTGATCTATTTGGATTTTGCTAAGGCATTTCATACAGTTCCACACAAGAGATTAGTGTTCAAACTGAAAGAAATCGATCTAGATGAAAATCCTTGTTCTTGGATGGAACATTGGCTTAAAAATAAAGCACAGAGAGTTGTCATTAACCCCTTAGTTAAGCCGGATGACGGACCGAGTCCACCATGTGCTAAAGTTAACCCCAGATCACGGAGTTAACGCTCCTCCGGTCTGCCTCTGTATTTGAGGCAGACCAGGAGCACCCGATCACGCTGTCCCTGCACATGTGCTGCAGGGACTCACGATCTGCCTCCCTGCTCTTCTGCGTCCAGTGTGAAGTGCAGGGAGACGGATCAGCAGTGATCTTCTCCCTGTGTAATAAAAAAAAAATAGTTAGTTTAACCCCTTAAGGACCAAACTTCTAGAATAAAAGAGAATCATGACATGTCACACATGTCGTGTCCTTAAGGGGTTAAAATCCACCCCACTTTACCCATTTTAAATAAAAATTAACCCCTTCCCTGAAATTAAACCCTTCCCCTTGTGGGGATATTTATGGGATGATAATAAACAGTCGAGAATTGCCCACTATTTCAATTCTCTTAGATCTTAGAGATCGTTTATCATGTAAGTGAAATGTATTCCATAAAAATAAAATCACAATTTGTTATAAAAATAGATTTAATTTATTGTAACAAATTAAATAACAATATTAGGCAGCATGCATGATAATAATCAGTGAATATTTAGTATAACATAAGTATGCAATACAATGGAATGGCTATACACGTTCCAATGGCTAACAGCATCACCTGTCACTTAATAAGATTTATGAGGGTACTTCACAGACAGAAAGTAAAGCTTCACACAGCGAAAAGCCATAAAACCATGGCTAACAGTTAAATCAACTGAGTAACCCTTTCAATGCTGGCTAGATCCTCCTAGGCATATAATATCCTATTCTCATGTAATTTTCAATTAAAATAACATTCGAACCAACTCATTAATCATTTCCTGGAACCATCCAATAAGAATAATCTATCAGATTTTTACAAAAGCCGAATTTTAATTTGCCTAAAAAGATATCTTATCTTATATTAGAGCAAATCAATACACCTGGATAAAAACAGCAGTATGCTAACACGTGATAATATCACATTAATATATAATTATTCTTAATTCCACCTGCAGAATGGAATGTTTATAACTATATATTCTTTAGTTAACTACGATTTCTAAATATTGAAATCTGACCGTGATTTATCCAGTCATATATCATGCTATAGTAAATTTTTAATTAATTTAGATTAATTAAATAAAACCAGCATAAATACCAGTTATGTAGATATTCTCATCAGATGAGTAGGTAGTCCCAGAAACTTAATTGGTTGTATGGAGGTGCGTGAGTGATAGAGAAAAGTGGTGTTGGTTAGAAAGTTAGAGTAAAATTCAAAGAGTCAAGGAGTTGTGTCCAAGAGAGTTTAAGAGTAGAGTGTTAGTACCAGAGAGTGTCCTGGATCACTCTGCATGTCCGAATCTGATTGCCCAAACTCCAACTCGTCTCTTTACCAACTAACTCCTCTCTTCCCTTTGTCCTAACTTTTAAAGGGCTAGACTCTCTGTACGTCATTAGTTGATACGGCCAATAGGAAGCTGAAGGTGGGTTCAATCGATGGATCGCAATTTAGGTATTTGGTCCATAGAGGGCAGTCTCGTCTAACCAAACCTTCCTATCCAGGAAAGAGTTAACTTTTCCTGATGACGATTTTGACGTCATTTGGCTTATCTAAAATGACTACCATAACTTAAATTTGCTGTCAGTTCAAAGCGTTTGTCTCAGTCTTTGTGGCAACTACTTTGATCGTAATTTGCAAAATTTACAGTTCTAAACTCAATTTCACCCCTTACTTACAATGGAACCTTGTAAAATTTAGTAAGTAAAATTGATTACTTAGTCTTCTCTGTCACTAGTGTCTGTGTTTATATAATGCATTCCTTAGCTCAGGCTCAGTGGTTAGTGAAAGCAAGGAAATTATGTGTCTTTGTTATCCTGAAGATAGCAAAATGGAGTCCGCTCTGTTCTGAGTGACTCTGGCAATATACACTTTTAATTTCTTTCTTAGCACAAAATGTCTGCCGATATAAATATCCTGACATCCTGATTACAGTGATCAATTGTCAGGGACTACATTTTACTGTGATCTGATTTTTTTATCCCCTGAGGGTCAATTTTTATTTTTTGTAACCCTCAGTGGTTAATTTTATTAATTAATTAAAATATATTAAAATTATATATTTAGCTAGCTGGGTTGGATGGAAATTATTGGGGAATTTGGTGTTAGGCTAGCTAACGTTAATTAAAAAAAGTTTTAAAAATCCCACCCCCCTTTACTCAGTCCTAATAAAAATTAACCCCTTCTCTGACAGTTGATCACTACCTGCAGTGATCAAAACTATACATAACAGTATTATACTGTGTTTGTGGGGAAGTTTGAATAGCCAACTAGCTAAACTACTCTAAAATAGAACATGGACACAGCGTAAAACTTCAAAGTTAGAAAAAAACTGAATGGCTGTGTAACGGATCGCCTGGCACCCCGACTGGGTACCTCCGTTAAAGGATGCTCCTAGCGCTTCCTGAGGACTCCAAGCACTGCAGCAGACACCACAACCACCGAACCGGAGAAGCATATGAATCCTCTCAAGCATATGAATGCTGTAGACAGTTGAATAGGAACCATACGAATAGGTTTACTCTCCTAGCAGTCAAACTGGAACAGCATACAATAAATCCTTCCCCCAATAATGAGACGACACTTCACTTTGAGGGTTAAGCAGGAACTCCCTGTACTGTCACATACAGTCTCTTTTATTCCCAATCCACAAACATAGTACAGCCCACAGGGCGTTACAAAACAACCAATCACATCACAGTTACATCCCACATATTCCCTCCCCTTATCCTGAGAGGAAACTCAATTATACATACAGTTAAAACATACTTTCTACCCAACTTTCATAACTCCAAAACCATACATCACATTCACATAAAATTACATATTCACAATCAATCCATTCAGGGGAACAACATATTCAAAAATGGCACAAATCAGACAAGGGGTTCAAAAGTTAGTAAAAAGTCCTTTGTGACTAAATGAAGCATGGCTTTCTGGCCCAAACCAGTTTCAGAGTCTTCTATCCTGGATAAGTAATTCAATTATCTCCCAGGACAGACACAAGACTCCATTAAGCACATGGTTGCAAAAAGACACAAAACACTTTAAAATACATAAAGTCACATTTTACACATAACACACAGACATTTCACATATCCCCAGATAGCTCAGGTCTGAGCGCACATTATTAAGTGAATGGCGCTCGGACCACACAAATACAGTTTAATCGCCATGGAGCCAAAGTCTTTACAGTCAGTTTCATACGAATGGGCTCCATGGGATTCCTATCTGGGGTATAACACATTCACATAAAGTCTGGTCCATAGTCCAAAGGCAAGAGGCGGGCAAGCAGCCCCCTCCAAGGACACGTGGCGAGGCCGGTTTCGCCACAGGCTGCGTCTCAAATGTGCCCCTTCAACATCCACATATACCTGACAAAGGTACATACGGGAGTATTGCTGTACTCAGACGACATAACTGAGAAACATATCAAGTATTATACAGTCGTAGCATGCATATGGTTTGCAAAATATACTGTGCAAACTCACTTTGTAGCTCGAATATGTAGCCTGCTTAAGTGCTCCAAAGTGGGACCCGAACGCATCAAAACCCTTCATGAAAATTCACAATTAAAAACCTGAACTTGGCACGTCTCTTTTACAGCACTGTAACTTCACAAGATAGTGTCTAAATCATAGATTGGGCATATTGTTTTACTCAGAAGATGTAATTTAGCATAATTTGTTTTTTTAAAATGACAGTTGAGAGCTCAGGCAGATTAGAGCTCCCCCTGCTGGCAATGCATGAGCTGGCTATTCTGACCATGTAATCGCAAGGACC